TTCATAGTAACTCTATGTAGAACAAAAAAAAAAACACTACCCAATCCTGCATGTTTTGGTCATCTAGTGCTGCTCTATCAGAAAATACCACAAATGGGTGGTTTTAACAAACAGGGATTTATTTTCTTACAGTTTAGGAGACTAGAAGTCCAAGTTCAAAGTGCCAAACTCCAGGGGCTGGGTAAACGCCCCTCTACCCTGGGCTTCAGCTCTGCCTCTTGCTCCCAGCCCACTGAAGCTGGAGGCTTTTCTTAACTCGGGGCAGCCACTGGCTGCTGAGGCTGACAAACCCAAGGTCAACAAATACAATGGCACAGTCCCAAGATCACCAAACAACACGGCAGGGCACTAGTTCAAATCCAGAGATAATTCCAAGATCGGCAGGAAACATGGCAGGCTGCCAAATGAAGACTTGGGTATAAGCAGAGTCCAAGCATATAAAAAAGCTGCAGACCATTCCCAAAGCTTCTCCTTATTACTGGAAGCAGACCACATCCCTAAACCCGCTACTCAGCTGCTTCATGGCAGATTCCACCAGGGAGTTAACTGCCAGTTTCAACGTGGGGAATAACTATAACCAGCTGCCCAGCCACTCAAAGCCAGGCTCCCCAAGTTTCCACATATTCTCAAAATGTTTGCTATGATGCTGGAAGCTATGCCAGCAGTATTTCAAATACCAGCAGGGTCATCCATGGTGGACAGGTTTGAGGGTAACTTCCAAACTAGGACAGACTAGGAAGAAGGATGGAGCCATCTACTTCTGAAAAAATTGGCCACTGAAAACCTTATGAATAACAGTGAAACACTGTCTATTACCAGTAATAATTAGCTACCATTTATTTTATAATCTGTGTACTGCCTTTTCACATCCACTTGGCCATTTAAAAGTATAAGGAGCAGAGTCATGCATTTGGACTACCTCAGTTAATGGGAGTTATAAACATTATTAGGGATATAAAGGAGATAAACCATCTTGGCAGTTAAATAGGAAGGCTTCCTGGAGAAATGAAATACAAACCAGTACACAGTTGCAGCTTTGGTGATTCACAGAAAAATCTAAAGGTTGTGCTCTCAGAAGTGAGAATTTTTTGCTCTTTACTGTTATATAGTGTTTCCACTCATCACTGTACCAACTCTCTGATAGATTATCCTACCAAACTGCCACTAGTGCAGGCCCTGTCTTGAACAGAGCTCTTAGGAGACCTCTTCCTGGCCTACAGAGCCAAGGAAAGCCTGCTTTGGGAAAGATCACCCATCCCTGATCTTGTAAGTTCCAGAGTGAACTCACAGGGCACCATACTTGGCAACTGTAATGGACTGAATTGTGTCCCCAGAACATATATGCTGTAAATCCTAACCCCTCTACCTGTGGAAGGGATCCTGGTGGCACAATGGTTAAGTGCTCACCTGCCAACCAAAAGGTCAGAGGTTCAAACCTACCAGTGGCTCCACAGAACAAAAGGCCTGTAAATCTATTCGTGTAAAGATTGTTGTTGTTGTTGTTATTTGCCGTGGAGTCGGCCCCGACTCATAGCGACCCCTCCTTGGGTTTCAGAGGCAGTATCACTACGGAAGAAGGATTGCCCAACCTTCCTTCCGAGGAGTGGCTGGTGGGTTTGAACCACCAGCCTTCTGGTTAGCAGTCAAGTGCCTTAGGCACTATGCTACCAGAGCTCCTGATTATAGCCCAGAAAACCCTGTGGGGCAATTGTGTTGTTGCCGTTAGGTGCCGAGTCATCTCTGACTCATAGCGTCCCTACGCACTGCAGAACGAAACACTGTCCAGTCCTGCGCCAGCTCCACAATCCTTGCTATACTTAAGCCCATCGCCGCCACCACAGTGTCAATCCATCTTGTTGAGGGCCTTCCCCGCTTTTGTCAACCTTCCACCTTACCACGCATAACATCCTTCTCTAGGGAATGGTCCCTTCGGACAATATGACCAAAGTAGGTGAGATGAAATCTGGCCATTCTCACCTCCAAGGAGCATTCCAGCTGCACTTCCTCCAGTACAGACTTGTTAGATCTTTTAGCAGTCCATGATACTTTAAGCATTCTTTGCCAGCACTGTAACTCAAAAGCATCAATTCTTCTTCGGTCTTCCTTGTTCATTATCCAGCTCTCACATGCAGATGAGGTGACTGAAAATACCATGGCTTGTGTCAGGAGCACCTTAGTCCTCAAAGAGACATCTTTGCTCTTCAGCACTTGAAAGAGATCCTTTGCAGCTGATTTGCCCAGTGCTATACATCGTCTTATGTCCTGACTGCTGCTTCCATTGGCATCAATTGTAGAACCAAGCAATGTGAAGCCTTTCACAACTTCAATCTTTTCTCCATTTATCATGATGCTGCTTATTGGTCCAGTTGTGAGGATTTTTGTTTTCTTTATATTGAGATGTAATCCATACTGCAGATTGTATCAGTAAGTGCTTCAAGTCATCCTCACTTTCAGCAAGCAAATTTGTCATCTGTGTATCGCAGGTTGTTAATGATTCTTCCTCCAATCTTGATGCCACATTCTTCTTCACATAGTGCAGCTTCCCAGATTATCTGGTCAGCATACAGATTCATCAAGTATGGTGAAAGGGTACAACCCTGACGCACTCCCTTCTTGATTTTAAACCATGCAGTGTCCCCGTTCTGTTTGAACAACAGCCTCCTGGTCTATGTACAGGTTCCTCGTGAGTATGATTAAGTGTTCTGGAATTCCCATTCTTCTCAATGTTACGCACAATTTGTTATGATCCACACAATCAAATGCTTTTCCATAGTCAATAAAACACAAGTCAACATCTTTCTGGTATCTTTGCTTTTTTGAGCCAAGATCCATCTGATATCAGCAATGATATCCCTCATTCCATGTCCTCTCCTGACCCTAACTTGCATTTCTGGTAGTTCTCTGTTAATATATTGCTGCAATCATTTTTTAATTATCTGCAGCAAGACTTTACTTACATGTGATATTAATGATATTGTTTGATAATTTCCACATTCTGTGGGATCACCTTTCTTTGGAATGGGTACAAATATGGATCTCTTCCAGTCAGTTGGCCTGTCTTCCAAATATCTTGGCACAGTCCAGTGAGTGCCTCCAGTGGGGTATCTGTTTGTTGAAACTTCTCAGTGGGTATTCAGTCAATTTCTGGAACTTTGTTCTTTGCCAATTCTTTCAGTGCAGCTTTGACTTCTTCCTTCAATACCATTGGTTCTTAATCATATGCCACCTCCTGAAATGAAGATCGACCAAGTCTTGAAAAATGGGGCAATTCTACTCTGTCCTATAGCATCGCTGTAACTCAGAATCTACACAATAGGACAAGACAACAACAATACACCTGTGGCTGTATCTCATTTGGGATTAGAGGTTTCTTTGCTATGTTAATGAGCCTGTATTAGTATGTTGTTGTTGTTATGTGCCATCAGGTCGGACCCAATTCATAGCAACCCCTCCTTGGGTTTCCGAGGCAGTATCACTACCAAAGTACATTGCCCAACTTCCTTCCGAGGAGTGGCTGGTGGGTTACATGTGTCTTAATCACTTTTTTCTTATTGTGGTTTGGGTGAAATAAACCTATCACTTTGAGATAGAAAAGGAGAAAATAAAGCTGAAAAGTAAGCAAGCAGAGACTGGGGAAAACAGATGCCATGTGCAGATCAAGGAGTAAGACCCCTAAAGAAGGTGAGAAAAGCACCTCCAACCCCACCTCCAGCACACAGAGAAAGCTTTCCCCTAGAGCACCACCCTGAATTTGGACTTCCAGCCTTCTAAATCGTGAGAATTATGTTTGCTCATTAAAGTCACCCACTTACAGTACTTCTGTTACAGCAGCATTAAGAGACTAAATGCAACATATCCTGAAAAAAACTCCTCCCAAGCAGCTGTTAAGCAAGCAGGCACCTTAATGGAGGGTCTGTCCCCCAGTACACATTTTTACCACTTAAATATTTTCACCAAACTTACATTCTACAGACATGGTAAATGAGTCCCTGAGGGGTAATTTGCCCAAATTCACAAAGCCAACAAATGGCAGTGATAGGATTCAAACCTACCAGCTATAGACAAAACCCTAGTCTTAAGAGTCCAGGAAAAACTTTGGATTTAAATCGGTTATGGCACCTTCGTCGAGTTAAATACTGTCCACCATCCTAGATTAACTGGAACTTTACATATTTTAAAGTGCTGTACAAATGTGAGGGTTGGTAGTAGGAACACCTTTTGGAATACCCTTTACGTAAAGAGTAACCATAGAAAAAGCTGGGAGGCATTACCCAAACGTGGCTAGTCCAACCCGGCAGACAAACCCCGCTGTGCCCACGTCCCACCCTGTAAGGCTAGGCGCGCGCGCGCGGTACCTCCTCCCGGATTCAGGAAGCGGAAGCTGAATGCGCCACCTGGGCCAAAAGGCGGGGCCGAGGCTCCGCCGCGGAGACCGCGGCTCGTAACCATGGAAACTCTGGGGGCGGGGCCATCCTCGGGGGAAAGCATGACCTTTGCCCCTCAATTGAGGCTACGTCAGAGGCGGCAGCAGAAACCTCAATTGCAGACGGAAGCTGAAGAGCGGCGGCGCAGGCAGCTGGGGCTGTGAGACCGCGGCAGCTAGCTATGGAGGTAAAGCGCTGAGGGACACGGGCCGGGGCCAGGACTGGGGACTGGGATTGACGAACTCTGGTCCTGCTCATAGCTATGCATTTGCAGCCTCGGCGATTTCAGACGTGGGGTTCGGCCCGGTTTGCGCACCCTCCCTCCTCTCCCCTAAGTCCCATGCTCCTCCTCCGCCTGTCCCATCTTCCCAAAATATTGTCACTCTTGATTTCCTATCCCTATGCAGTCCTATTATGTACTACTTGCCGCAGCTACAGCCCTCCCTAATTCTCTTTCTGACGTAAAGGATTTCCCTGCGCTTAATACACTCAGCAACAATCTCACAAGAAGGGCCGCGTTTTATCTCACATTAGTAAAAGTTATTCTGATCACCTGGGTTTGATTTTGTTTTGCAGGAACCTGTTCAAGATGGGGTGGCTTCACCAGCCGCTCCTGGAACTGGGAAATCTAAGGTGAAGAGAATATTTGACTAGCAGACTCCCTGAAGAGTGGAAGGGTGATGAATTTGAAAACTTTTGCATGGGGAGTGGGAACGGCTTACTTAAATAGTCTTTTTCTAAGAGATCTCAAGTTTAATTCACATAGCCACTTTTTTTTTTTTTTTTAAGTTACCTGATACGGAAAAAGTTGTTTGCTTCCTGCTCCTAGGTCAACACTGCTAAGAGATCTTGCAGTTTTTCAAACATTAAACAAAGCAATCTGATTTATGAGGCTTTATATAGTGGTGTCCCTGTGGGTAATGCAAACAGTTAATGTGTATTTGTCTGCTAGTCCACCCAGAAGTGCTTTGGGAAAAAGGCCTGGCATGTACTTTGGAAAAAGTAAGCCATTGGAAACCCTGTTTAGACATACTTGGGATTGCCCTGAGTCAGTCTACTCTCAGCTGATGGTAGTAGGGGAAAGAGCAGTAACAGTGAGGCAGGGGTTTCCATTCTTGTTGCTCTGTGTACCATGAGAGGCTTTGGGCTAGTCACTAACCTTTCTGGGCCTCAGTTCTTAAACTGAAAAGAGAATGTTGAATTCGATGGTTGTTACGGTCCCATACGATGTTAAATATTCAGTCACCCCGAAAGAAACAGTGAACGTAGTAGTGAAGGTTTATTGCATGCATACTAAGTTTCAGGCACTTGCCTAAGCACTCAATCACTTCACTTAAGCCACATAAGCTTAGGGCAACCATGAAACGGCCCCTATTGTTATCCCCAATTTACAGATGAGAAAACTGAGCCAACAAGGGTTAAGTACTTCTCCAAGTAGTAAACTCAAATTTTTTGGCTTCCCTAAGTACAAATGGTTAATGCACCCAGCTACTCACTAAAACGTTGGCGGATCAAGTCCACCCAGAGATACCTCAGAAGAAAGGCCTGGCAGTCTACTTCCAAAATACCAGCCATTGAAAACCCTGTGGAGCAAGTTCTGCTCTGATATACTTGGGTCACCATGAGTCTTAGTCAACTCAACAGGTACTAAGGTCTGATTTTTAGTTAACACCTAAATGGAACTTGATTCATCTTGTTGCTCTAGATAAACTTAAAATTTTTCATTAGGCCAAAGACATTTTTCAGCCTTGAACAGAGTGAAATGGTTAAGCCATTCAGCTGCTAACCAAGAAATTCAAACCCATCAGCCACTCCGTGGGAGAAAGTTGAGGCAGTCTGTCTCTATAAAGATTTACAGTGTTGGAAACTAAGGGGCAGTAGGCTTGCTATGAATTGGAAGGGACTCCATGAGTGGGTTCTTAAAGTAGCATTAGTCCCAACGCCCTACAACTAAAGGAATCAAAACCCAGGAAGTTTCTTAACCTGTGACAATGGTATCTTTGTGTGAGAAGATATTTTTTGTTTTTTAACATTTCACAGTAGCTGCTTAATACATCCAAAAACGAAACCCATTGCCATCTAGTTGATTCCAACTCATAGTGACCCCCATTGGATTTCTGAGGCACTAAATCTTTACGGAAGTAAGTTACCTTGTCTTCCTAATTCAGAGTGGCTGGTGGATTTGAACAAGTAGCCCCCTGGTTAGCAGTCAAATGCCTTAGGCAGTGCACTGCCCTAGTTCCTTAATAAGTAAAACCAAACCTGCCATCCAGTAGATTTCAACTCAGCAACCCCCATTAGGTTTCCAATGCTGTAAATCTTTACGTAAGTAGATTGCCTCATCTTCCTCCTCCAAGCAGCTGATGGGGTTAGAACTACCAACCTGCTGGTTAGCAGCCACATGCTTTACCCACTATGTCACCAGAGCTCCTAATTAATAATGTAAACCAAAAACCAAACCCATTGCCATGGAATCGATTCCAACTCATAGCCACTCCCTTTGGGCTTCCGAGGCAGTAAATCTTTAGGGAAGTAGATTGCTCAGTCTTTCTTCCACAGAGTAGCTGGCGGGTTTGAACCACCAACCTTCTAGTTAACAGTCATATGTCTTAGGCACTATGCCACAGAGCTACTTACTTAATTTTTTTAAAAAAAGACAAAACACTGCTGTGGACAGGATCCCGACTCATAGTGACCACTCCTTGGGTTTCTGAGGCGGTATCTGTATGGAAGTAGATTGCCCAGTCTGCCTTCTGAGGAGTGGCTGGTGGGTTTGAACCACCAGCCATCTGGTTAACAGATCCCTTAGACACTATGCCACCAGAACTCCCAGTTACTTAATAGTAGTTGCTTAATTAAAGAACCCTAGTGATGCAGTGGGAGCTCGGTTAGCACAAATGATTAAGGACTGGGCTACTCACAGAAGTGTTGGCAATTCAGATCTACCCAGAGGTGCCATGGAAGAAAGTCCTGGCAATCTGAAAGATCATGGTACTGAAAATTTTCTGGAACACTTTACTCTGAAACATGGAGTATCTATGAGAATCAAGTCAACTAGTTTGGTTTTTTGTTGTTAGCTACTTAATAAGTTGAAATTGATTTGCTAATTTTAAAAATGTGAAATAAAGTGTATTTAGGTGGCATAAATATTAGGTAGAATATTTTTAGGTACATTGTGTTTCCTTTTTGTGATACAGTAGAAATATGAATTATAACAAATTGGTAACATCACATTTTTCAGCTGGAAACATTGCCCAAGGAAGATCTCATCAAGTTTGCCAAGAAGCAGGTGATGCTAATACAGAAAGCTAAATCAAGGTGTACAGGTATTGGGCTGAAAATGTTTACCTTGACCACCAACCTCATTTACTCATAGTTAAAAATATTAGTTTTTTAGTAATACACTGGCCTATTTTGGTTTTCCAGTGATTTCAAATACAATTTTAGATTGGGTAGTAGAAGTTATTATTATTTAAAATCCTAACCATTTACCTTTGATGTGTTTATTATCTCACAGCTTGAAACTGCAGTTAGCTTTGAGTTATTAAAGTAAAGTGAGAGAGAAGGAGGATTGAAAAAATAATTTGTTGAAGTTAAGCATTTTTCTCTTCATGGGAATTACAGATTCTTCAGAATAAGGTTTTTGTTTTGTTATTCCCTAGTCAGAAATAGTAGCAGCACAAGACTGTGAGACGAAAGAAGTAAAAAGAAGCATCAAAGTAATAAAAGTTTTCTATTCCTAGGATTTTGAAGTATAGTTATTTGTTGAAGTTGTATTCAGTTTCTTTTTATTCCAAGGGGGAAAATATTTTAGTATTCTTCTTTAATGTATGTATTTAAGTGAGTAAGTGCTTGATCTATAACTCTCCTACTTAAAACCCAAGATTTACATTCTACTGAGAAAGGTCAGTTATGTTTTGGAAGATGGGATCAGCTTTTGATGAAGATTGCAGTTTGTTTGAGAAGGTGTATTAGACTCCAGACCTAGACATGAGTTGATAAAATATTCAAGATTGATGTTTCTGCTTAATCTGGAGCTAGTTGTTACTTTGAGAATGTATAGTAAGGGTATTTGTAGATTAAATGATGTGATGTCTGGGGTTTGTTTTGAAATTATGGGCAAGGAAAGGGGGGAGGAAGACAGTGCAAGTCTGGACAAAGCAAGTACAGGTCATATAATGGCTAAAGCAGGGTGATGGGTGCATAGAGATTAATCACACTATTTTCTTTACTTTCCTATATGTTTGAAGTTTTCCATAATAAAAAGGAAAAAGAAAAGGTAATACTGTTATATAGATAAAATTGACATTTTCTCAAAGTACCTATTCTAATTCATAGCAATTTTAAGAATGTATTTAGTCACTTTAGCCATTTTCTTCATTTCTGCACTGAAATCTTTTTTCTTATTTTTTAATGTTTAGAACTGGAGAAAGAAATTGAAGAACTCAAATCAAAACCTGTTGCTGCAGGAACTGATGATATTATTAAGGTAGTAAAACCATTGTGAATATTGGTGTAATTTCTATTTATTTACCTAGAGGAAATATCTAACAGTAAAGTGAATTTCCTTAGTATTGTCAGCCTGCTAGAGCACTACCTGGCTTTTAAACCCAGTTCTACCACTTACTCTCTAGTCTTGGTTAAGATTTTTGCCTGTCTCTGGTTCACTGTAATAAGAATGTTAAATGACTTCTAAGTTCCTTTCTATTCTAAATGAGTATTATCCTTGTCCCTTCTTTTCTTCTCATACACTCCGGTTGTTTCCTAAGTCTCAGTCCTGCTTTTCTCCGTCTCCCTCAGAAAACCCAGCCGTTCTCAAGACTTTGGTTATTCTTGTGGGCTGACAATTTCTAGGTCTGTATCTCGGCATGACTAGTCACCCATATTTCACAGTTGTATTTCTGGCTGCTTATGGGGAAAAAGTACCATATGTTTCTCTTGTCGACCCCTCAAACTCAACCTGACCAAAATTTGGTTCCACTCATCATCTCATTGTTCCCCTTCCCTTGTGTCAGTGGCATCACAGTTTCTGTGCCTTCTAACTTTATCGACTCTAACATTTCTGCTTCCTTAATCCTAGGAGCTCTGGTGGTGTAGCGCCTAAGGCATTTGACTGCTAACCAGAAGGGTGGTGGTTCAAACCTACCAGCCACTCCTCGGAAGGAAAATTGGGGAATCTGCTTCCGTAGAGATACCGCCTCAGAAACCCAAGGAAGTGTCTCTATGAGTCGGAAACGACTCAACAGCAATGAGTGAGATGCATGTGTCAGTTACCAGAAACTTACTCTTTCTTCAGGATCATGCTCTGGTTTATCCTCCTATTCTCCATTTCTGTGGCTCTAGATTTAACAAATCACATCACACTTGACTTAACTTTAATAACCTCCTGACTGATCTTCCTTTCTCTTTATATTCTTATATACTCCTAACAGTTAGTGTTAGAGTTTTTATCTTACTATTTAAGAACTTGAGTTGCTTATTCTTATTTCCATGACCTTTTGTTAATGAAATCTTTTTTTTTTTTCTCATTTTCCTCCTTGGCTTCCTTATTCTTTGTTTTTCAAGCCCTGTAATATCTTTTTTCCTGCCTTTTCGTAATACTTATAGTTTGAGTCTCACTATCCTTTGATTAAATATTATCTTACTCTCGTTAGGTGGCTGCCAACTTTTGAGTAATGAACCATTGAGGAACTTCCAAGAATTACTACAGAGTGTCTTTAAATCCATGTGTATATCAAGTATTATCATTTAGTTCTATTTAACTATATCACTATATGAAGTGTGAATGATACACAGAAATACCATTTGGATTCATAGTGTACTGATTCATTTAAGTCTTTCCTATTCATAGTAGTTTTGTATATTTGGCCATTACGTGTTTGCTTGATCACTGATAGCCAAGTAACAGCTATAGTAGTTTGTTCTGACTCTTGAGACCTTGGCTTAAGAATCTTACTGTCTTTGACTCAGTTTCTTCATCTGTAAAATAGTGATAATAATTATACTTCTGATAGGGTTGTTTTGATGGTTAAGTGAGTAAATAAATGTACAACACTTAAAACTGGGTCTGTCACATAAGTGCTTAATAACTGTTAGTTGTTAACATGATTATGAATTTGTGATGACATATTTCATACATACATCCATACCACACACACACTGAAAGGAAATACTCTTGTTTGAAAAGATTGGGAGCCCAAGAGAGTCTTCTCTGATTTTGTATCTCCTAACTCTTTTTTTTTTTTTTCCCCCTAATTTTTTATTTTCATTTGGGTGCACATTTACAAAGCAGATTTGTTTTACTCTTAACAGTTCATACACGTTTGGTTTCACGGCCCCAGTTACAAACCCCAACCATTAAAAGCTCTTCTCCTGTCTCATCCCTGGGACTACCCCTTCCCTGTGTCCTTCTTGTTTATGTATTCCTGTTTCTGTATTTCTTAACTTTTCATAAATGGTTTTTTTTTTTTTTTTTTTTT